AGGAAGTCTGTGTTTTTTTCCATTAATCAAAAAAATAATCATCAAAAAAACACACACACACACACACACACTTTATGAACTGTAGCTTATGGATTCTTCATAAGAAAGGATAGCAGAGCACTTTAGATACTGCATTATATATAGTGCTATTTAAAAAAGGTGTCAAAGGTGCAGTAGTCAGTACATTTCAACCAATCAAGGTTTATGGAAAGATCACAAAGACAACCAAAGGACACAATTCAGACATCTGTCACAGTCACTTTAGATCTATATATGCTAGATGGCCTGGGTGTAGCACCGTAGGTATATATACACACACACACAGAGACTTCTTTCCTTCCTTTATTACTTGTTGGACATAGTGAAGCTATGCTACATCCTCCATGGGGAATTTCTAAACCATGTGGGGATGAAAGCAAGAATAGAACAATACAACAATAAATGTGGTAGTGATCACACAAATTGCGCAGTCCTAAAGCACTCGTGCAAACAGTCCCGAGTGGATAAAACACAATCAACTGTCATTTCTTAAACAATGACCTGAATCCCTGATAAAGCTAAATCAATACAATTACATAAGAGGAGGCAAATGCTTGAATACAATTTCCACGTGGCAGATAAAAGGAAAAACAATACTTGCTTACAAACAGCACAACACACGGCGATAGAGAATCTCACTTTGATTATGTAAAAGACAATAGGAGTACCGTAACGCTATACCCCATGTAATCATCCAATCATGTGCAATGGAAATTCCTATTTTATAATGCTCCTCTACACACAATGAGATTGTCAAAAGGTTCACCTGGCCAACTAAAGCAATCTACCACAGTGTGTAAAACAACACGGCCACTATCTAAGGGCTCATTGTAACGCGGCCACAGGAGTATGCTATGAAGTAAACGGTGACGATATATCGTCAATGACACATTGCACTGAATACTTTTTTTCAACTTTGCTGAAAAGACATAAAATTACATTTCATTCAGATTTATTCCCTGTAGTGAGTTTATTTGCTTCGCAAAGTGCTGCCAGGAAAAAAGTACTGCATGACCCGGACCTGAATGCAGCTCTTTGGTTGTCCCTGTCCAGCCTGTGGTCCAGACACAGACTGAGTGGCGGTTATGTCCAGACCACTAATGCCAACCTGCACTAGGTAATAGCTGGTTAACAGTGGAGCCATAGCCCTGCACATGTCCTCCTCCTCCTCAGCAGTTGGTTGCTAGGACCGCTAGCTTCTTAGCAACCTAAGATGTCATGTGTTCACCTCCTCTGCAGTCATGACGCCAAATGTGTTCCACCGCCACCAGCATTACAAGAGGACGGAAGAGTATCTTCTTCCGCACTCTCCTGCAGCTTTGCGTCACTCCCCCACTTCCACCTCTGGGCTACTAATAAAGTAGTAAACTAAAGGTGTGAGGGGACAATAAATATAAAGGGGCACTCTAGAAGAGACAAATGTAAGGGAGCACTCTAATGGGGACATTATTAAAACTATACAATTTACTGCTTTTTACAAGCTGATAAAATTTACTTTGAGCAGAATCAAGTTTAGAGTATTGGTTTGGCCCCCACATAAGTCCCAGTTTCTCATGTGCCCCTGCTGGCTCAGCACCCCTCCATTAGAAAAATAGCACATTTTTCTACTGAACTATGTCAAAGTAGCCCAGCTATAATGGTCAGCAGAACAGTGACTGTTCGGGTATTCCGACAGCTGTGGGTGCTGGGTATCAGAATACAATAAGAGTACACGGTAGAAGGCTCCCCTATCTATGCTGGTTAGCTTGGATGGGGGGGAATTGTGCATTTTTCCCCTTGTTCATACATTAGAGTGCATGGGCAGCTTTAGAGTCTTGTTCAGTGCCAAGAGTGCGTGGCCAGCTTTAGAGTCTTGTTCAGTGCCGAGAGTGCATGGCCAGCTTTAGAGTCTTGTTCAGTGCAGAGAGTGCATGGCCAGCTTTAGAGTCTTGATCAGTGCAGAGAGTGCATGGCCAGCTTTAGAGTCTTCTTCAGTGCCGAGAGTGCGTGGCCAGCTTTAGAGTCTTGTTCAGTGCCGAGAGTGCATGGCCAGCTTTAAGGTGCCCATCCACCTTACGACCATCGCAAAACTTTTGTCTTGCGATGGTCGTATGCTTCTTGAAAGCCCGTACGATCTGCCCACCTTGGACGGGCAGATCGTACTGGCGATCATCGAAAGCCCGCCCAACTGAGGGGCGGGCTTCCGATGACGGCAATGCAGAACGGGCGTGCGCACACCGGCCCGTTCCGCAGCTATCGGGCGAGCAGGCTAGAAACCCCCCGAGAATCGTACGATTCTCGGCGGGGGTTTGGACTTGTTCAGTGCCGAGAGTGCATGGCCAGCTTTAGTATCTTGTTCAGTGCCGAGAGTGCATGGCCAGCTTTAGTGTCTTGTTCAGTGCCGAGAGTGCATGGCCAGCTTTAGTATCTTGTTCAGTGCCGAGAGTGCATGGCCAGCTTTAGAGTCTAAGAAGCAACAACTGAGATATAAAAAAGTTAGATGACCTAACACTGCTGGATATTATCGGTTTGGGAAATCTTGAGGGATCCCTGACAAATGGTACCGCTATGCAGAGCGCATGTTGTGGAGTGCTGCAAACATCTGAAATAATTAATATTTATAAATATTGCTGAAGAGGAAAAATGCTTTCTGGCATCTTATCGTTCATCCACATCTGTGCTCCCATTTCCTTCATTCGCAGAGCTGAAATGAGCCCAAGCACAGCATGTCTAGAGTTTACTGAAGTCTATGGGGATTGCAGGTGGTTGTAGTATGATGAGCACACTACAATACATCAGGTTCCAAATACAGAAACGTATCAAAACTGGAGCAGACAGAATCTGGAGCAGTTGCCCATAGTTACCAATCATCTTCTATCTTCAGTTTGTTCAGTTAAGCTTTGAAAATGAAAGAGAAAAGCTACTTGGCTGTCATTGACAATTGCTCCAGATTTGATCATTCTAGGGGGAACTCCCACTTTAAAAACACGTTGGTTGTTAGGAAGGTCTCACTGGTTCCTACTGGGAAAGATCAGAAAAACGAGCTCTTTCAGACTGCAAAAACGCAGCTTGTATCCGGCAATAATTATCGCCATCAAAGCACATGGAATTGTATTCCATTAGCCTATTAACTGGTTACCCGAGACTTTACTAACTAGCAGTAAAAAAGGAGCGCATATTCATTACATGTGATGACCAGCAGAAATAACACCTGCCGGAGGTTAAAGTGGAACTCCAGACACCTATTTATTCTGTTTGTGTTGAATAGAGTGAGGAAAAGTTGCCTTCACTTCTTGTCCAAAGCTGGCCACACACAATTCCATTTCCTCTCACTGAACAAGAGAATGTCACCGATTTTCCTGTTCGCGGTGCACAGCTCTTACAGAGGTATCTCCGCTGCTGGCTATGGTATTCAGACAGACGGTACCCAAGGCTACCTGAATACAATGTCGTTACCAAACAGCGATGGCATGCGATTCAATGCAGTCATTGTTCATCCGATAATCTTCAGTCCATTTTATCAAATCTACTTTTGTCATGGTGGTGCTGTCAGGGCAAGCCATGTATGACCTTCTGAGAGAAAGCAATAGGAATGGAGAGAATGGGGGCTAATTTACTAAGAGGAGAGGAGAAATGGTTCACTTAATAAAGTGCATGGCTGCTTAGCTTAGTAAATAAGACATGCCTTAATCTCTTCAGTCATGTACAAGAGGAATGAAATACTATTGATGTGTGTGGGCATGGTGTGAACCAAGGTCACCCAGCCTGCGCAGAACTGCCAGTGACATACCACCAGCCCAAGCAGTTGCGGCCGGGGCATTCCCTACCCCGCAGCTACACACAACAAAGGGGCGAGGAATGCTCCAATTGCAACTGATTGGGCGAGCAGGGTGGTATGTCACTGACAGCTTTGGTGATCTCGGTTCGCACCATGCCCACACACAGCACATGATTGGATGACTAAGGTAAACACAGATTCACCTAATTCACTGAGCTAGGTGAGCATATACTTTACATAGGGAACGGATTGTATTGCTTTTTAGAAATCGCCCCCGATGTCTTTTCCAGGTGAGCAGAAGTCTCATCTTTGATGACTGTCCTTGAAGAGGAGTCCCTGTAGTGAGATGTCCCCTCACCCAGGGCCTGCTGTCAGACTTAGGATTTCCCCTCACTTCTATTTTGGTTACAACCAGGAAGTCTGTGATCGGCCAATGTAATGCAACTTACCAGCATGTGTATGACAGGTAGGCCAGTCATAAGCAATGCACATTAAGGGACAAGGGACATTAGATTACCATCACGACTGGGAGATGTGCCCAATCCAGCCCTGCTGGTACACTGCTAGTTTTATAGTGTGCATGGCAGTCTATTATTTATTTCTTTCATAGAAAAGTAATAAGCTATTAGCACTACTCAACAATCTCGCTTCCTGATAACAGCCACCTTACATGACCCCTGTACACATACCATCCTAGCGGTGACCCCTGTACACATACCATCCTAGCGGTGACCCCTGTACACATGCCATCCTAGCGGTGACCCCTGTACACATGCCATCCTAGCGGTGACCCCTGTACACATGCCATCCTAGCGGTGACCCCTGTACACATAGCATCCTAGCGGTGACCCCTGTACACATAGCATCCTAGCGGTGACCCCTGTACACATAACATCCTAGCGGTGACCCCTGTACACATAGCATCCTAGCGGTGACCCCCCCTGTACATACATGTACTAGTGTAATAGTGACCCCTGTACACATATGATCCCAGTAGTGACCCCTGACCCATACAACCTGTCACATGCAGTCAGCTGAGACCCCTCCACAGGCAGGGTGGTGTACTTCCAGGCTGCACGGAGTGATCAGACTTCGCCCATTGCTTTCACTTGAGGATCACACTACTTTCAGCCACTTTCAGAGTTCTTCCTCCCCCCACACACACACACACACACACACATTACAGAACGATCCCCGACTTCACCTGAACCGGGGAGAGTCCTTCAGACACTCCTCGAAATCCACCGTCATCTTCATGTCCTCGACCTCCCTGGTACTCCGATGGCTACGTGAGGACGAAGCAGGTTCACGGGCCGCGATCACAGTGCACAGCCGGACAGGAAGAACCTCACTAGAGCTAACGGAGGCCGCTATGCGGCGCTGTACATGGCCAACATTCCCTTTTCCTACAGCCTGACACAGCCAGCTTCCCAGTCACACACCATCACAGAACTCCGCCCCGACACGCCTATTCGCCAAGGCAACCTGCGGAGGGACGGCTGTGGCAGCCAATGGGTTTGCGCCAAAGGCGGAATACCATGAGTTGGAGGGCGCGGCTGGTTGCTAGGGACAACTTGGAAGTGGGTGGAGTCACCCTGGAGGGGAGGGAGGGAGAGGAGGCCTGGGAAAGGATAGGGCGAGGTAGGGCTGGGATTAACCGCTCGGAATTGCCCTCCGGGCAGAAAGTCATACTGGATGTACATTAGAGTGCTCGCCTCGCATGAGTGGTCACTGAGAGCTTCCAAATACTTCCGTGTGGTGCCTGCTGACATCAACATTGGGAGAAAGGGACAACGCACATGGCTGCTGCGAGGGGGGGCTCTGTTCAGTGCCTGGAGAGGTCATGAAATGGCTAGTTTTGGAGAAAGTAGGGGAGGGTTGGACCTTCTGCATAGTTCTTACTGCGGTCAGTGTCCCAGCTGAGAACCTGGAGACCATTGTCACAGAAAGTGGAAATCCTACATTTAAAGGCATAGCCCACCTTTAAAAAATAAATACACATTAATGAAAGAAAAGAATCTGCATTTATTATTTTGTTTACCTTGGAGCCTGTAAATCTCCTGCTGACTATTCCCCCGGCCCCAGGTCGGTATTGAAGTACAGAACTTCAGTTATGGGCCTGGGGGAAGTCATCAATGGACTACAAGCACAGGGGTGTCACCGCACTTCTATTCCATTGAGAACTTCGAATCCCTGTGCCATGGCGGTAGATGAGATGTGCAGTTTTTTTTATTTACAGATCCTGTGAATGGATGGCATGGCTGTATGCTGTATGCTGTAGGGAAGAATTCCCTGCAGGGGGCTGCAGAATGGCTCCATGTTACATTCTAAACATGGGTATAACATAAAACAAGACAAGGTATTAAAGGTGGACTTCTCCTTTAACTCTTTCCCTGGATGTATGCCGTACGTCGATGGCAGGGAAGCCTTGTAAACAGACTCCTGACTCTGTTTACCTGTGTAAAGCCAACTGTCAGCTTTGTGGCATGTTCACACCATGTACAGTGCGTTCCAGCGCGGTTAGCTGCTGGAACGCACTGTATCGCATCCCGGCTGCCTTTCTGTGTTCAATGCACCGCCACGCTCCCTCCCGCCCCTGGGAGGGAGCGTGGCGGTGCATTGAAGTCAATGGCTCCGCAGCCACACTTCCCACCCGCAGTGCAATCACCCGCACCAGAATGCGTGGCACATTAATGCCTGCGTTGCGGTCCAGAGGGATCTGAAAAAATGCTGCATGCAATACTTTTTCAGATCGAACTGGACTGGAACGCAGGCATTGATGTGCCACGTGTTGTGGTGCAAGCGATCACAATGAGGGCAGGGGGCTTGGCTGCTATTCCGTTGACGTCAATGCACTGCCGCGGCCCCTGAACGCAGGAAGCCGGCCAGGGTGCGTTCCAGCAGCTAACCGTGCTGGGACACACTGTATGTGGTGTGAACTAGCCCTCGCACTGGAAGTGATTCGGGCAGGTAAGCTGCCACCAGATCACTTCCACAGGCCAGTGAATAGTGCCCCACGCCTGACACCCCTGTGCTGCCCCTCCTGCAGGCCTGGTAGTGGCATCACAGGTGTCGGTGCGAATCAGGGAGAGAGACCACCAAACACCAGTTCACTAATCTTCTCACCGCTGAATGGAGCCAGAAGCAACACTGATTCCATCACTTCTGGCTCCTTAGCTGTCATTCCCCAGGTAGAGAAGCCGGGGTAGAAGCTATTCCAGTCTGATCTGTGCTTGAATAGCTTCTATGAAGTGACACTAGGGGTCTGATAGAGAACCTTTAACCACTAATATGCTATCACAGCCGATTGGCTGAAGGTGCAGTCAATCATTTGCCTGCACTCAGCTCACACACTGCACGCAAAGTGTGTCACTGGCTTTATGTGTTGAAAAAACGCCTGTTAGCGAAAGGGTTAAGAGTTATCCTGAGAGCAAGAGGTGAGGGGGAATCTGCCAAAGAGGCAAATGCTCTGCTTATAAATGTCTAAGATGAAAACCTCCCTCACTTTAGAGATATTTCCTTTTACTTCCTGTTGTGTTTCTGAAACAGGAAGTGAAAGGAGATCTTCCCAGCAGGAAGCAAACAGCAAGAAATAACCTGATAAGGGTTTGAACCCTCCCCTGATCTACCCAAACCTAAAAAATATTAGCTGCACATATAATTTAACCCTCAAATAGTTTTCTGTGCCCATCGGACATGCTGAATCCTTTTTAAATCCATACCGGCTGCTGTTTTTAATTCAGTACATTCTCTGTTCAGTTAAAACTTGCTCCATGCTGCTTTGAATAACATCTGCAACTTTGCCCTTTGTATTAGATAAGGTAATTTATCTGTTGCAGAATGTCGTACATAACAGCTAATCTATGATTCACCATTACAACCTCAAGCTCTAGCCTGTTCATTGGAGGATACAACCCTGGCTTCAGATCATTACCACTGGGTGTAGTGCAGGGCTGGACAAATCCCGGGAGCTAGGTAGCCAAAGCTGCTTACAAATGACAGCTGGCACCCAATTTCTACATTTTTCCCCTAGTTGTCCATTGTCAATGGAGCTGGCTGCTGGTTTTTGGATTAGACAGGGTGGCTCCTGAATTCCATATTCATTTGTCCACCCCTGGTATAGTGCCACCTGCAGGAGTAGGACACTTGGTTAAAGACACTTCAGGGGTGACCCTTGCTGGTGGCCACCACCTCCACCACACACACGCACTGTCATATAAGCTCAGATATTATCCTGACATCTAGAAGTTAGGACTTTCTCCTGGAAATCTCCTTAGTTCTGTTTACTTTGAATGATCAAATATCTGCATTAAACGCAGAGCTATTCTCAGACATAAGTGACTGAATCTTTGTAGTTCCATTGGTCTCCTGTGCATCGAAGCAGCCAGACTGTTTATTCCGCTGGATGTTACAAATGTAAGCAAGTATGCAGCGGATGTACACTTCACAAACAAAAAAAAATCAATAGTGTTTGCCAATACGTTACACAAGTGATTCCAATGGACTAAAATGCATCCCAAATGTTTAATGTTGTCTACAGATACCAGATTGCCTTTTTAGTGTAACCTAACATTGATATGTTTTTAGGACTATCATGCAATCTATAAAATATTTATAACAGCAGAATAACTTTTAAAACACATAAGGAACTGGGCAGTATATTTTCCACTTGGTATGAGGGAACTGATGAATACATTTTTCTTAGTAACACAGTAGGTAAGGTTGAATAAAGACCAGGGTCCATCCAGTTCAACGTGTGTGTGTGTGTATCTTGCTGTAACACTTCCCATATCCCTGTAGATCCTGCGAAAGAAGAAACTCATCCAGACGTTTCTTGAATTTATCAGTTATCAGCATATATCACCGCCTGTGGAAAGGAACTCCAAACTTTCACTATTCTCACAGTAAAATACCCCCTGCAAATTCTAAGATTGAACCCTCTCTCTTCTAACCTCTTGTTGTGTCCCCAGGTTCTCAATACCGCTGTGGGATTAAACAGTTTGTTCCTAATATTGGGGTCCCCATGACTGAAATAAAGAAGACTGAAATAAGGTCCTCTCCTAATTGCCTCTTTTCTAAGGTGAATATCTAAATAAGTTTAGATTTTAAATGCGGTCTTCATAACGCAGGCCTTCAATCCCTTTAATGAATCTGTAGCCCTTCTCTGAACTCTCTCCAGTTCCAGGACGTCCCTCCTTGGAGTCGGTGACCAGAATTGTAATGCATACTCAAGATGGGGCCGAACCAATGGTTTATGAAGTGGAAGTATTACTCTTTGATCCCTTGCTACAATCCCTATTTTAATACACGCCAGTATCTTGTTAGCTTTACTGGTTGATGCCTGGCTGTAACACGCTGCAAGGATCTCAGCTACAGATATGATGTGGAGGGTTTTCTCAGAAGGATCAGATATCGTATCTTCAAGTAGTGGGTAGCAGTATAATTCAAACAGTTCAGGCTTCTACCCAGGCTTGCAATCAGATAGTAAGTACTTGAGTATGGGAAGTGTATCACAGACAGACTCTTTAATAACACAGTAGATAGTAGTTACAAGAGTTTGGGAAGTGTTTCACAAGGCAGTCTCTTTGATAAAACAGTAGATAATAAGTGCTAGAGTTTGGGAAATGTTTCACAAGGCAGTTTCTTTGATTACACAGGAGATAATAAGCACTAACGTTTGAGAAGTGTTTCATAAGGCAGTCTCCTTGATAACACAGTAGATAATAAGCACTAGTGTTCTGGGAAGTGTTTCACAAGGCAGTCTCTTTGATAACACATTAGAGGTAGACAATAAGTACTTGCATTTGGGAAGTGGTTCACAGGCAGTCTCTCTTTATGAACAGGATCTGTCTCCAGGTAGCCTTGGGTCAGAGTCCTTAACAGGGGCGAGCTCGTTAGGTGTGTAATACAGCCCATGCAATGAAGCTTGTCCAGGATGTTGTGTGGGGAGATGCAACAGTGACACCCGTTGAAGTCTCAAAGGAACAGTTAAATCTGACTTAGAAAATGAAGGCGGAAAAGATATCTGGTGATAGCATCAAATGACATTTACGGGTTAAGCACTGTGGAAAGGTTGCCTTTGAAGGTAAGCTGCCTGATGGTGTCAAGAATGAGGTTCAACATGCGGGATTAGAAGGGGTATTGCCCGACGTCTTCTCCCTTGCTCGAACGCCGGGCGATTGATCTTCCTGGCTTAAGCCAACAGTGAAGGTGGGGCCTAATGACGTCACAGATGACGAGGCGAAACCCTGGGCCGATCCTTGAGCGACGGACAGGTGAGTTAATTACACTGGCATTGCTTACTTTTGCCAAATCTGTGGTCTATGAGCACCCCCATGTATTTTTCTATGTTTGACTTCCCTAATGTAGCATCCCCCAAGTAGTAGTGTGTGTACATGTTCTTTACTCCCATGTGCATAACCTTGCATTT